TGACTTTCATTTTATCACATGTGGGGTTTAACTTAGCTGTGAATTCCTGCTCTAATCCAATCTGTTACTAAATTACCAATGTAATGGGAGAGATGGAAGGGGTTAGAATAAACTTAGACTGCTATAAGTTTACAACAATCCTCCATAACACAAGTTTACCAATATAACAAACCTGCACATGTACCCCTAAACTTAAAATAAAAGTAAGATTTAAAAAATAGCACGATAAATATCAAAGAGGAATTTATTTTTCTTTTTCTCTAAGGAGAGACATGGATTATTTGTTGACTTTGATATTTTTTAAATAGCATGTGCTTTGCCTACATTTTGATATTATGTACTAAATGAAGATAAATGTTACATTTGTGTATATTACATTCTCTCTACCAGTCTACAAGTAACGTTGATAAACTGATATTCATCATTATATTATCTTATGATAGAAATACATATGTGAAAATATAACCATGTAACTTAGACTTATAAAGATTGATTTTCAATGGCTTCGATTCGAGATCCCAAATATCCCTTTTATGCCTGAATTAGACCAGACACACTTTTAGAATAATGTTATGTATACCAGGAATGGTAGTGAGAAAAACATCAACATGCAACCCCCTAGGTCCTTTATTTTAAAATTTTCTGTTTTAGCCAATTACATGTAAAATGATGTTGAAACAAGTAGCACAGGATACCCACTGATACGGCTATTTGAAATCTACAAATACTGGCCCAGCATATAAGAACAAATTGCATTTATTAAATGTACTGCAAAAGTAATTCATTTCAACAAAAACCTGGAGAGACAGCTCAACTCACTCATCTATTAAATATTTAATAGTATGCATTTCAAGATATATCTTCATGCCTTACAAACACAATCAATGTGTTTATTATTAGTTAAATAATTTTGTCTTTCAGTCAGCAGGATGTGTTATTGCCTTCAGAGTATCCTACCACAATCCCCGGATTTGAACTCTAAATAGGTCAATAATTCCTTCAGTAACAGACATTAATATTTTTATAAATATGCAGCATCCTATACCTTCTTCTCAATTTTTGCTGTCTATACCTTCAAATGTTTGGAGGAAGTCTATTCACATTATCAAGGATAGTAGTTTTTCTCGAAGGCAACTGCTATAACACAAAACACATGTTAACCACATCTAAAATTACCTTCACAGCAACACCTAGATTACTGTTTATCTTAGTCCATTTGTGTTGCTATAAATGCATTCCTGAGGCTGAGTAGTTTATAAAGAAGAGAGGGTGGTCTGAGATACAGTTCTGCAGAATGTACAAGAAGCATGACACTGGAATTTGCATCTAGTGAGGGCCTAGAGCTATTTCCACTCATGGTGAAAGAGGAAGGGGAGCCAGCATGCATACAATAGATTGGTGTGAAAGTAACGGCCATTAAAAAAAAAAAAATGGCAAAAATCGCAATTACTTTTGCAGCAACCTAATAGATCACATGGCAAGAGGGGAAGCAGGATGAGGGGAGGTGCCAGACTCTTTTTAACAACCACCTGTCACAGGAGCTAACAGAGTGAGATTTCACTCATTACCACAAATACAGATCTAAGCCATCCATGAGGGATCCACCCTCATGAACCACATACCTCCCATTAAGCCTCAACTCTAATATTGGAGATCAAGTTTCAACATGAGGTTTGGAGGACCAACATCCATACTACAGCAGTTTAATTTAATCACTGGGTACTACAGTAGAGACATGTTGACACATTAATCTTACTAACACAGGTAAATATCTATTCTATGAATGTAGCAAATGAAGGTGTAGTTGCTTTAGGTATATATATATAAATATTCCTAAATATACATACACACACTTTATACATATATAATATATATACACATATATACATATTATACATATATACGCTTTAGGAATATATATATGTGTATTTAGGAATATATATGTACACACATATATATACACACACACATATTTAGGAATATATATATATATATTCCTAGAAATATATATATTAGGATATATATATATTCGTAATGTGTATATATATATTCCTAAAGTGTATATAGATATATTTTTTCCCAATTTCATTAAATTACATCCATCAGATGCTAAAGATTTTCTGCAAGAACAATTAAGCACATAGAAGGAAAAACTATACACCAGAGGTTAATAAGTGCATAGTTGATTTTTAAGATACCAGAACATACTTTATACAAAACATAATGTTCAAATGATTTGGATGAGACATGGGATCAAACGTCAGTTCTGTCATTGACTCATGATATGACTGAACAATTGTTGTAACTCTCTGAACTCAGTATCTTTGTCTGGTAAATAGAGATAATAATATGTCTGCGACATAATATGCCCAATACATATTAAGTACTCTCTACAATGCATATTATATCAGGGGAAAAAATTTATTTTTTCAGTTGCATTTAAGATAAACAATAATAAGGTTTTGGTATTTGTAACCCATGCTCCTTTTACCACTACTCAACTATCATCCATTCAACTCTGCCTTTTCTAGATAGGGTAGATTATTTTGTTTCTGAAGCAAAAATGTATATTTTTCTTCAGTACAAAGATAATTTCTATTCTTAGCCAAGATTAATTGTTGACTTTGTACAAACCAGAGCAGTAATAAACAAATCTTAGTCCATGAAAAAGTGAAGGCCTACAAGGGTCCCAAGAATGAAAAGTTAATGGAGCCTGAAGTCTGGAACGGAAAGGCAGGAGGCTAAGAAAAGTTGGCTGGAAGTCAAAGACAATTAGAGCAAATCAATTTTAGGTAAATGAAAAATGCTTCATGAGAATTGTTAACCATTATTGCCCAATGTATTCTCTCTTCTTCTAAAATCTATAATAGTAAAATACATGCTTCTTATTCTGTCATCTGTAATCTATTTTATCTTATAGGAATTAAGATACTTGTTGAATTCTACCCTAGATTTGGTGTCATATAACAGCTCCTTCTGGGGAAGAACAACACTAGCATTCTTATGATAACCATTTGGTCTGTGACTAGAAGAGCAACGGAAACCAATTTAAGAGAAAAGACTGAGTGTCTAGAAATTAACCTGAGGATATATATGGAAAGTATGCATTTCAAATAAGTGAAGGAAAACAGGATTTATTTAATAATGTTCAAAAATATGGTGAATTAAAGGAAAAAGGGGAAGTAATGCAAAATGGATTATAATTTTAAATACTTACCAAAGTCCATAATTATATCAAGAGACAATTTAAGATCTGTAAGAACAGATTTTTTTTTTTGTCTATCATGTTTAAAGATGTTTCCCACATTCTTAGAAAAATGTCAAGTGTATAGTTGGTACTTAGCAATCTAATTTTATTAAATAAAAGAATAAACATTATGATAAACATCTTGCCTATTTTTTCTTTTTAGTTTGTTGGTCAGATTACTTCCCTTAAAATAGATTAAATTAATACTGGCTAAATTTTCTCCTGCTGCAGTTCTCTTTTAATAGTGCCAGATATATAGTAAATGGCTTTTGGCTAAAACTATTTCAAAAGTTAGAGGTCACCTCTACCCCATATTACCCAGAAATAATGGTTCTCTACTTTCATGATAACTATTTTGAAATAATCTAAAATAAAAAATAGGCTCTTCAATAAAATCTAAATAATCCTACAAAAACTTAGAGATAAATTTTTGTTTGCCCATAGACAATCTGGACATTTAATTAGTATCATACTCCATTACCAGACAATGAATCTAGGTTATAGCATAAAGTTAATAAGTGTACTTAAAATAGGAGAGTTCAGAGTGGTTGTGATTTTTCAAGCTATATTTCATTGAGATAATATTTCACTGCTTCAAAAAAATGAGACAGAAATTGGTGAAGAAGAGAATAGAGCTTTTTATCTGTTGGCAATAAAATGAGAAATGCGTAATTAAGGATAATTATAGTTAGAATTTTGTGAGATGGATTGCTTGTCTATCTATACAAGCACTGTAATACACATTTTAGAACACACTTTTACATACTTAGAAAACACTTTTACATGCTTAGAACATGCTTTTTATTAAATATATGAAATATGTATCATTCATAAATGAATTAATCTTATGTTACACATATTTAAGCATATATAATTATGAATTAATTTATTAAAAAATTGTACCTCTAGAATTTTGTAATAAAATGCCACAAATAACAGAAAAGACCAAAAACAACAAATAAATATCTTCAGGTATTCATTTATAACAGTGCCATATATTGGTAAGCAGTTTCTATCTACCACACCAGAGCAAGAGAAATTACTGGCACGTTGCAAAAACACAAGTCAAATAATGTTGTTCACAAGACTGAATAAAAAGTGCATATATAATATTAGATGCACTATTATATAACTATTAAAAGTATTTTATTGTCTTAATATTTCAAATATTCTACTATAAAATGTCATTTTAAATATCACAACAATTATACAACATACCGAATTCCAACTTACAATGTTTTTTGCTTATAATAAAAAGATTATCACACTTTTTAAAAGCTGTCTCAGCGCCAACACACACACACATACAGGTATGTATTTTTTAAACCAAAATTTCTTTGACTACTTCTTTAGAAAGCCATAATGAATATTTCACTGTGTCTTGTTTCTGGAGATGCTCCTTCTTTAGCAATTTATTTTGTTGTCTCTTAATATCAGTTGGATTTCTTTTCCATTGATACAACTGAACATTTTCTCGCAGGGTAAGATGTTTATTAGTGATTTTATTTTCACTTTATAATATTACATCTAATATTTAAGAAGAAAGAACTGAAGCAATCTCAAAATCAAATACTCTTCTCTTTCTCTCAAGATATTTTATAGTAAGTAGAAGTTTTGCCAAGAATATAGGAATTGAAATGTATATCTAACTATTTTAGATTTTTGTTTCATTATAAGAAAGTTCATAATTATAAAGAAAAACTTATACATATATAAAGTATAAATATTAACAAAAATACAAACACGCACTTACCCACAGAAAACTTGAAAAATAGAACATCTTGTATATCTTTGAAGGTTCCAGCAGCCACTCCAGGATACTATCAACCCTCCAAGATACAAATAATATGTAAAATTTTGAGTCTTTTGTTCCATTATTTTATATATACATATGTTTGTGCATCCCAAATCTTCAGTCTGAAGATATCTTGAGTCTTAAAGTTTAAATTCTTTAGATTCAAACATTAAAATTATAGAAAATAGGAAGTTAATTCAAATATAAATCATAACTCACACTTAGGGGTGAGAGAAAATAAGACAGCAGTGAGAACTATTTCAGCCCTGATATAGAAGAATTGGATAGTTGTTCTACATTGTATGTAATATAAATTAATTAAAATCCTGTGACTTTTATTCAACAGAACCTGAAATTTCTTATGATCACTGCTTTAGTTTCACCTTTGAGTTTAATTTGAATCATTTACTTGTTAAATATTTCAACATCTTTTACTGTCCCTTCCCTATCAGGTCCTGTACTTGGCACTGCACAAAAGAGTGTCTGAGTCAAATGTAGAGAGAGAGTTCAATCATGACTCTTCTAGTATCAGACAAAGAAATTAATGAAGCAATTATGGAAATAAGTAAACTCATAAAACTATTCTATGGTTATGAATCAAATCTAACTTCAGGTAGTGATATGCAATAAAGTGAACATCACTAATGATGTACAATGATAGTGGAAAACTAATTTCTATCCTTCATTTTTAGCATAAAGTGTAAAAATGTAAGATTAACCTTGGATTCTAATCAGAAGTTTTCTTAGTCATCAAAAGTTTTGAAAAATATTCAAACGAGCTTTGTATATGCATTTATTCCTTGGACTTCAAAAAGCATATAACAAGAATATTCAGTAACTATCTAAATAATCCTAACAATTAAAAAAGAAGAAAAACGTATGGGGAGGGAGGAACCACTCTTAGGTCCTGGAGAGAAAAAAAAAGGTAATTGTTTTTTTTTTTCTTCTTTCTTTGCAATTGTTACATCATTCAAGATTAGATTTTTACGTAGATACTCACTTTTACTAAACTTTCATCTAATCAAATTATTTCATGTCTAACTAGCATACATAGTGTGAAAAATCAAGTAGAAATCTGTAATTTGGAGATAATGATAATGAATAAATTATGTTTAGAGAAACAATATTAATTATAGACTTGCTATGTATGTTAATTATTAATATAAATTGAAAGCTGCATTATAATATTTGAATAAATTGTAAACAAAGATTTTTTTTAATTTATTTTTTATTATTATACTTTAAGTTGTAGGGTACATGTGCATAACGTGCAGGTTTGTTACATATGTATACTTGTGCCATGTTGGTGTGCTGCACCCATCAACTCGTCATTTACATCAGGTATAACTCCCAATGCAATCCCTCCCCCCACCCCCCTCCCCATGATAGGCCCCTGTGTGTGATGTTCCCCTTCCTGAGTCCAAGTGATCTCATTGTTCAGTTCCCACCTATGAGTGAGAACATGCGGTGTTTGGTTTTCTGTTCTTGTGATAGTTTGCTAAGAATGATGGTTTCCAGCTGCATCCATGTCCCTACAAAAGACACAAACTCATCCTTTTTGATGGCTGCATAGTATTCCATGGTGTATATGTGCCACATTTTCTTAATCCAATCTGTCACTGATGGACATTTGGGTTGATTTATAGGCTTCCTATTGCCATAATCAACATTCTAGGGATTATCTTTTTTTCCTACCTTTTTTATGCTTTTCTTTACTGTTCCCTTTGTTCAGGGAGATCTTATAAGAATTCACTGTTAAATGGATCTCTATAAATTACCATAGAATGATTTATACTTGTATTATTTCTTTTTTATATTTTAATTATGAAATCAATAGAGTCATGTTGTTCTTTATTTTATTTATTTATTTATTTATTTTTAGACGGAGTTTTGCTCTTGCTGCCCAGGCTGGAGTGCAATGGCATGATCTTGGCTCACTGCAACCTCTACCTCCCTGGTTCAAGCAATTCTTCTGTCTCAGCCTCCCAAGTAGCTGGGATTACAGGCGCCCACCACCACGCCCGGCTAATTTTTTGTATTTTTTTAGTAGAGACGGGGTTTCACCATTTTGACCAGGCTGGTCCTGAACGCCTGACCTCAGGTGATCCACCCACCTGGACCTCCCAAAGCGCTGGGATTCCAAGCGTGAGCCGCCGCGCCCGGCAGAATCATGTACTTCTATTGTAGGCTTTAAAGGTAACTGATCAGAGGACATCAGTGTCAGAATGTTACATTTCATCTGCTTTCAGACAGAAAATTGTGTCTGCATTAATTTTGGTATTCTCTTATTAGATTTACTGTCAAATCTTAATTGTTTCTGCTATATAGCAACATTCTTTATGCAAAGATAAAAATGACAAAAACCAAGATTCAAGATTTTGAAAAATTTTAAGTGTGTATTTGTGAATATGTTAAACATTGATGAAGTGATTCATTCTAAGAAAATTGAACTGTCTGTCTGATTACAAGGATGGTAATTCAAACAGGAAAGATGTCTATATTTCTAATTTTTGCCATGCTGATGCCAAAGAGAGTTTCTTTAAGACATGTAAGTTGATAATATTCTAGGCATTTCAGAATAAACCAGAAACAATAAGTACAATAAGATAATATTTTCTAATGGCTTTTCCAGATCGTCTATGATTAAATAAAAGTGCGTAAAAAGAGTTGACCTCACCTGCTATAATGGGTAGTTTCTATCTATGAAAATAAGTGACATGGTCTACAATCATGCATACTAAAGGATATACAAACATATAACTTGCTGCAATAAACATGCATATGTAAGATTAACCTACACATGCTGCAATAAACATACATATGTAAGATAAACATACGTATGTTTATTGCAGCACTATTCACAATTGCAAAGACTTGGAATCAACCCAAATGTCCTTCAGTGACAGACTGGATTAAGAAAATGTGGCAATATACTCCATGGAATACTATGCAGCCATAAAAAAGGATGAGTTCGTGTCCTTTGTAGGGACATGGATGCAGCTGGAAACCATCATTCTCAGCAAACTATCACAGGAACAGAAAACCAAACACCACAGGTTCTCACTCATAGGTGGGAATTGAACAATGAGATCACTTGGACACAGGAAGGGGAACATCACACACCAGGGCCTATTGTGAGGAGGGAGGTGCGGGGAGGGATAGCATTAGGAGATATACCTAATGTAAATGATGAGTTAATGGGTGCAGCACACCAACATGGCACATGTATACATATGTAACAAACCTGCACGTTGTGCACATGTATCCTAGAACTTAAAGTATAATAATAACAATAATTTCAAAAAAGCATATAACTTGAATTAACATCCTTGTGAAATACTGGCACCACACATACCAATTCGCAATATGAGCCATGAAGAGTCAAATATGTTTTACTCTAAAATCAATTCAAGAACAAGATGATCCTGATAATTCTGCATTTTTAAAATCAAGATTTAATTTGCAAAAATATTTATCAACTATATACTATGTAAAAGATATCAAGGCAAGCACTGTGAAAAGAAAATTGTAAAATTCGAGTAATTTTCCTCAAGTAGTCTATAACTTGGCACAGTATATATGAATAAATAAATGAAACTTGTATCTTGCAGTTAAATAAAGACAGAGAGGTCAAAATACATGTATAAAAATCTCTCCCTATTCAATATTTTATTCTATGAAGTCACAATGATTATATACTTTATTAATTGTCAATATATGTTATTATTTTATAAACATTGACTGCATGCTAATTAAAAAGTTTAAAGGTAAATATAAGAAAACATTTAAAATGTAATCATACTATCTAATGATAAAAAGCAAAAGCTTGAAGTAAAAATATTTATTTACTTTTATTGCTTTTGAAAACAAATAATTTTAAATTATCCAATAGAAACAATGTATATTTTAAGAAAAAAATAGCAGAAATAATGCAATATGTCGGATAAACTATATATAAAAAATGGAAAATAGAGTATACAGAAGATGTAGGAAAAAAATTAACAGCATGAAACAAAAATAAATTGCTTACATTGATTTGCGGTATTCAGCCAAATTACTCCTAAAAACAAAAGGACAATAAATAAAACAAAATCAGAGATGAAAACAAAATATAGAGATGAAATTCATAAATTCACTTAACCACCAGTGTTTCCTGTACCTCCCAATAAATTACTAGCATTTGAATCCCTGGAACTGGGTCTGTTTTTGCTTTGAGGGATAGGGACTCAAACTAAAGTGTGAAATATCTGAGGGAAAGGCATTCTAGGTGATGAAGCTAGTGTAAGACCCTAAGGTGGAGGCATGCTGGCATGTCTGAAGAACAGCAAGGTCATGGCGGTGGAATAGAGCAAGCAGAGGGAGCATACTGGGAATTGAGGTCAGAGATGGAACGGTGAGTGTTTGGAGATATGACATGAGATCTTACAGTTTTGTAGGTCATTGAAAGACTTATGGTAAAATATTTATTCTGGTAAAATAAGAAGCAATTCAAATGTTTGGAGCAGAGTTATGGCATATTGTGACCTGAGCTGTGAAAGAATCCCTCTGGCTGCTTTCTGTAAGGAAAAAGGTAGTAGAAACAGGAAGACCATGTAGGAAGTAACTGCCATACTGCTGGCTAGAGATAGTGAAACCTGGATCAGGAGAAATTATGGCAAATGGTGAGATACAGTTCAATTATGAGCATATTTTGAAGGTCTTACTACAAGGATCTCCTGATAGATTACACAATACAAGAAAAGTTAAAACAAAAGTCTTCAGGATTTTTAATTTGGGCAACTGAAAGAGAGAGTTGCTCTATGCTAGTGGATACCACTGAAGTGGCATTAGCTGTACTCTCCTCTGCTTGTGTCATTTCTCAACAGGTTTCTATCTCATCTGTGTGTGATCCTCCATTCCTTTTATTTTCCCTGTTTTTATTTACTTTTTCCTATTGTTTTAATCTATCAATGGTTCTAAAGGAATTAAAGACAAATGTTTACTTTCAACTTTTCACTTTAAACAGAAAGCCCAACTATTTTTGATTAAAATGTAATTGATTTTGATGGTAAATAAAAATATATATAAGCTTGTCAAGGCTTATACAATTTTTCACTTGGAGTGGATGCATTTTATGTCACGTATATTATATTTCAATGAAGCTGATAAAAATAATCGGGTAAAGTAGATGACAAACTTTTAGGACAACTTTTATGCCTTTATGATAATCAATTCACCAACAAGAATAATTCAACAGCAGAGTTGAAAATAAGTTTAATATGGCAATCACCTCTTTTTCTGACTTCTCAAAAACACCAGAGTTATGAGCAACACAGAGCTCCTTTCTGATTCAGAATTAATAAAAAACTTTCTCTTTGAAGTCTGCACAAGAGTAGTAACTGATAGTTTAGATCACAACACTGAACTCCCAAGGCTCTGCAAACATAATGCAATCAGGAAAAAGCAAAAGAAGTGAACCACTTTGTTTTATTGTTTTTTTAAACAACATAATCCAACATGTAATGTTCTAACTTTAGCTAAGTAAATTTGAATTGCTTATGAAGAATATCTTATTGAACTAAATTTAAAAGTCTTCTTTTTCAAAATATATCAATAGAAAAAGTGTTTATTCTTCAAAGTTTAGATTCTTTAAAATTTTCAAAATCTTCTTCTCTGAGTTTATTTTGTTACAGAACCTCTTCCCATTCTGTCTGATAAAAGAATTCAGTATGATTTCACTAAAGTTAATGATTTCACCCACAATGAAAGGTACATAACTCAGAATTGGTCAGGTACAATACAGCATATTAATAGTTCCTTTGCCACCAACTTGAAGTTATACGTAAAAGCAGAGAAAAAAATGGAAAAAGAGAACAATTTTTATGGTATCATTTGAATTCCTCAATCATCAGTACCTGCAGGTCCCTGGAACTTTCCAGTTAAATGAGTTAATCTGTAGTTAAAGTTAGAATTATTTCAATTACCAACAAAAAATGGTATTATAGATGCAAATGATTCCTTCATTAAGTAATTTTGGTAAGACTTGTATTAGCTCATTCTTGCATTGCTATAAAGAAATACCTGAGGCTGGATAATTTATAGAGAAAAGAAGCATAATTGTCTCACGGTTCTGCAAGCTATAAAAGCATAAGGCCAGCATCTTCTCACATCTGGTAAGGCCTCAGGGAGCTATTACTCATGGCAGATGTGAAGTGGGAGCAAGTGCGTCACAGAAAGGGAGCAAAGAGAGAGGGAGGTGGTGCCACACACTTTTAAACAAGAAGATCCCCTGTGAACTCAGAGCAAGAACTCATTTATCACCAAGGGGTTATCCATTCATGAAAGATCCACCCATATGTTTCAAACACCTACCATCAGGACCCAGATTCAACACTGGGGATCACATTTCAACATGAGATTTGAAGGGCGCAAATATTTAAACCACATCATTCTGCCCTTGGCCCCCCAAGTTTCATGCTCTCCTCACATTCCAAGATACAATTATGCCTTCTTAATAGTCCTCCAAAGTCTTAATTCATTCCAGTATTAACTCTAGGCCCCAAGTCTCCAGTTCAAAGCCTCATCTGGAGATGAGTTACTTTCACCTATGAGCCCATGAAATAATAATAATAATAATAAACCATGTTATGTACTCTCATGATACAATGGTGGGACAGGAATTGGGTGTACATTCTTTATTAGTCCATTCTCACACTGCTATAAGGACATATCTGAGACTGGATAATTTATAAAGAAAAGAGGTTTAATGAACTCACAGTTCCACATGACAGGGGAAACCTCACAATCATGGCAGAAGGTAAAGGAGAAGCAAAGGCATGTCTTACATGGCAGCAAGCAAGAGAGAATGCGCAGGGGAACTCGCCTTTATAAAACCATCAGATCTCATAAGACGTATTCACTATTACAAGAACAGAACCAGAAAGACCTGTGTGCATGATTCGATTACCTCCTGCTGGGTCCCTCCGATGACATGTCGAATTATAGGAGCTACAATTTGGATGGGGACACAGCCAACCCATATCATTCTGCCCAAATTGATATGGCAGAATGATTCTGTCATTCAGTGTCTGTCATTTAAAAAATAGCCACTTATTTTTCAAATATTTATTATGCTCTGTTTTCATTTTTTTATTTCTGAAATTCTACTACTCATATATTAGACGATTTGCTATTTTCCCACAGTTCTTGTAAGTTCTGTTCTGTTTTTTTGCCCCTTCTTGTTTTATCTCTAAATTCATCTAATTTATACTTATCTATCCTCAAGTTCCTTAATTCTTTCCACAGCTGTGTGGAGTCTACTAATGACATATTTAAGCTATTCTTTATATCTTGTACTTTTTTTTTGTTTTATTTCACTTCTAAAATTCTTAGTTGGTGTTTTCTTCACATTTGGTATAGCACCCTTCCACTATAACCGTTAACATATGAATCAAAGTTATTTTAAATTATCTGGTTATTCCAAAATTCATGTTATATTTGAATCTGGTTCTGTTGATTGGTATCTCACTGTACAGTGTTTTATTCTTGCCTTTGTATATGGCTTATAATGTTTTATTAAGAACTGGACATCGGTTTGACGCTAGAGACTAAGCTAGTTATTTCACCTATAAATACATGTACCTTTACTTCTCTAAGCATGTGTTTATGTATGTATGTATGTGTGTATGTGTGTATATATGTACGTGTGTATTTAATTTCATTATACGTTCAGGGCGTTCCTGTGCAGGTTTGTTACAAAAGTATATTGCGTGATGCTGAGGATTGGAGTACAAATTAATCCATCTCCCTGGCAGTGCATATAGTCCCCAGTAGGTAGCTTTATGCTCTTTCTCCTTACCCTCTTGCCCAAGTCTTGAATTCCTCATTGTCTATCGCTGCTGTCTTTACGCCCATGTATACTCAGTAATGTTTATCTCTGGCTTATAAGTGAGAACATGAGGTATTTGATTTTCTGTTTATCTGTTAGTTTGTTTAGAGTAATGGCCATCAGCTGCATCCATGTTGCTACAAAGGGTATATTTTTTCCTTCTAATGGCTGTTTAGTATTCCATGGTGTATATGTACTACATTTTCTCTATCCATTTCAGAGTTGATGGGCACTTAGGATGATTTCACCTCCTTGCTATTATGAATACTACTGTGATGAACATACAGATGTAAGTATCTTTTTGGTAGAATGACTTATTTTCCTTTGGATATATACCCAGTAATAAAATTTGCTAAGTCTTTAAAGTGAGTAGAGTTAATTGGGTCTATCAATGCCTTATATTTAGGATAGAGTCTACTTTGCCAGAGAGATTTTTTTCAAGGTCAATTGCACCCTCAGTTTTAGGTCTTCGGTTCAGGTTGCACCTTAGAGAGAGTTTATATACTTACTTTTGCAACTTTAACAGAAATTTTATATTATTACCTATTACTCAACACTTATTAGCGTATTGTTGGGGAACGGAAGTATTCTGATTTTCTGAGAAAGCATGAATCTACTGGATCTCTTGGGCTTAGGAGTATGACCTTGTTAATTCTTCTGCTACTTTCACACCTGTCCTGCACTTCCTTCAGAGATGGATGGAATTTTTTCTCTCGTTTCCCTCGGCTGCATTGGATTTCCACTAGTTTCATAAGCATGTCAGTGTTTATCTTTCTTTCCTCCAGAGATTAAGTAAGTTTCACAACTTAGATAAGGGATGCTTTTGGGTGGGGTTTCAAGCCTGTGTCCTCATGGCCACTGTCTCCCTCCACCAAGCTTATGCCATGGTTTCTTAAATCTTACTGCATTTTCTTTTTAGCTCCTGGTGGAATCTGTATAGGAAGGCCTAGTAAACTATGAAAGACTGTTCTATCTGCAGCTTCTAGGTCTTTTATTTTATTTTACCAGTTCACAATAAACTTCCACTAATGTGTTACCTTTCATAGCTAAATTCTTATCCATGCTCGACTGTGTCTTCTCAATTAAGTGATCATATTCTGCCCCTTCCTGCAGATGATTTCTTCTTATATTTTGGGCCAACTGGTTGTCCTGCACTTCCCTTCTCAGAAAATGTATAATAATTTTCATTTGAT